GTTGTTGTCTTTGATAGAGAAAACTAAGTGAAGAATATTTTTTTTAGAGTTTTTGGAATATTAAAACATCACCTAGTTTTAGAAGGTAGAAAACAAGCAAATAAATAAACACTTCTGACACAACGCCATCTAGTTTCAAAATAAGCAGAGCTTACGAGACTATGATAACTGATATTTATTTCTGTAAGTAAATCTTTTCAGATATTTTTACAAGTCTTAATGAAAGAAGCTAGATTGTCTGATAGAATACTAATATACTTTTTTGTAGATACAATACATATTATACATAGAAAACACCCAATCTCCGAAATAAATATTTGTAGATCATAGAAACATTTGGCGCGACCCGGGAATCGAACCCGAGACCTCAGTACAGCCGTCACATACGCTACCACTGCGCCATCGAAGCAGTCATAACTTTTAATTTTCCGATGATTTGATCTACATGATATAAAATCCATCGATAATTATGAAATCAGAAAAAATAGTCATGTATAGTATATTTTGTGATTATGAATTATTCAGTGGTAAAATCGCGTGAACTTCAAAATTCTGAGAGTCACTACACGAGGGCCACACTGAAATTTTTAAGAAAAAAAAAAAACAAATTAAACAAAAGTATGTTAATATTTTTATTGCTTTTCGAGGAAGTCTCCCTTGTTGTCCAGTCGTGAGTCCACTCGTCTTTAGGAAACTCTTCCACGCCTTTTTCAAATGCAGCCATACCAACTTAAGGGTTCATAACCTGTTTATACTCTTCCATACTCCATACTCTTCCATACTCTTCCATCAACTTCTATCATTAGCCGCACATACTCACGTTATCTACAACAGTCTTCCTTCACAAGAACCATCACTGAGTTTGCTTCTACCACGTTTAAACTTATTAAACCAGTTGTACACAGTGACACGAGATGGGGCTTTTTAGTGAAAAGCCAAACGATTTTATTGGTAACATTAAAGAGTGAAATACTAAAAAAAATTGAGCGAATATTTTCTGTAGTCAAACCCATTTCGAAGTACTATAACAGGCACTTCTAAATTGCCGGCCATTTAAAAGAAAAAAAATACATCTGAAATCATTAAACATCTGCAGATTCCAAAAGAGTTCCAAATGCGAAATTTAAATAAATTTTTCATCAACTGCTTTTCTTACTGGCCTATTCTAAAAACTTTTAGTGTGACACACGTAATTGTGCCGAATTATACTCTTAGGGGAAAGTATAATATATTACGAGAAATATTAAAAAAAAAAACAATTACGACCTCTCCACATCACAATTTTTTAAATTAACATAACCATGTATTAAGTGACGTCATACTGCATATCCATAAGATCAAATATTCGACCAACAATTTTATTTTCTCCCAATATTGCCTAAACTCAACTCCGCTTTAAAAGTTCCAAGATTATTTTAATGAAAAGCGTTTCAAATACTATCGGAAACTTTGACCAAATTAAAAAAGTTTGCCCTTCGATTAGTCCTATTCATTATTAAACTAAAGCGAACTAATCTCAAAAAAAATCTCGTTACTGAGTCGGGACTTAACGAAAGTTGCCAAAGTTGGGAGAAGTTGCGCCCCTTTGATAGGACGCAACTATTGGTAACGGATAAGTTTTACTATGAAAAGGAGGGTCCAAGTATATAGATGCTACGTTACTGATATCTCGTATTAGTTGAAATTGTTGATAGAAATAAAACAATGTTAATTTTTATGTTATGCCATGCTATTTATATATTGATTATTATTTTTTTGAATTTGTTTTACTCAAGACTGGCCCCATTTAAATTTAACTCAAAATTTCCATCACCAAATATTAATAGATGGAGAATATTGTTATAATCCTAAATATTTTAATACATGGTAAGTAATCGTTACAAAAACTTATTAACAATTAAAATTATAGTGTAGTTAGTGTTTTATTCTCACATCACATCTAGGGACCGTCCCTTATAGTGCACTGCTGGACATAGGCCTCTCTTTAACAAAGAGGTTTTGGCCTACGATGCCAAGATGGCCAGACGGGTTAGTATGAGGTGGTGACGTCCGCGTGTGCCGGACGTCACCTAAATGGCGAAAGTACCCGAAGATGGTGCCCGCGAAATTGCTGACAGGTGCTAGGAGGGGTCCGGATGTCTTAATAATAACAGTTCCCAGATCTCTCCTATTACAGGCGCAGAGTGGCACACCGTATGGTTTTAGTCCGTAGTTGTGACACACCACCCCGCCGTGGGGTGACGGCCAGAGGGGGTTTCCAAACGTGAAAAAAAAAGGATTTGTGTCAAGTTTTCCTTCTCTTTGCAGTGCTGTTGTCCTGCGTAGTTTCATCCTTTAGTCGGCTCTTACGACACCCACGGGTTGACCCTATTCATCCACTGATAGTGACACTCCGTATTCTTAATCCGTCACCACACGGTTACACACCACGGATTAAATTATTACTTTGCATGATATCATTGGTTGGACGATCATCTTGTGACCACAGGCCGAGTAACAAGGTAAAAAGCTTGATAATTGCAGATAATTGCAGATTGACTGCACGGATTTAGTGGTTTAAGCGGTCGCCACGCCGCTTCCTACTACGCCGAGTGTTGTGGGATTAAACCCCACATGGGACGACACTTTGTGTGATCTACAAATTGTTGTTCTGAGTATGGGCGTTCTTTGTGCTCGTTTCATGTATGTTTGCAAAGTCCCCCGCGACACAGGAAATACTCCTAAAGCGGGAGTTGTCTTTAAAAAAAATAAAAATATGTTGCTTCACCCCAAACTACTGCGTTTTTATAGTGGCACCCAGTGTCGATAATACTAAATATTAGGATATTCAAGAAAATATGTGTATACAATACATTTTAAAGTTCAGATGCCTTTAATTTTTTTGGTTTAAATAGTATTGAATGCAGCCCATTATGGCACGTTAAAGTTCACTACAATTTACGACTAGAAACGAATTGAAAAGCAATCAAGAATTGAAATACCAGATGTATTATGTCGAAGTAATAACTCGATAAGCAAATGTATTGTATATCGAGTGACGAACTATTGATGGTTAAGGCGAATGTAATCTGAAACACATAACATACTGTTTGATTTGAATAAAGATAAGTGGAAATTCATAATATATCACAACCGATACATCAATTTTACACGCTTCCCCGCTCAAGTTTATACCACACACATCGAATGAGATCAAAGCAAGCCGTTCATGACATCATTAAATGACTACCATGAAACTATCAAATAATACCTGCAGCTCTTTAAACCCCTAATCCGGTGACATAAAGGCTATTTCTGCATAAATCTTTTCTTTACTACAACATTGTAGAAGCACATACATGCTTTTCTATAAGCACTAGTGAGTTAAATGATTATATAATTAATTTAGTGTATAGAGTTATGATCTTTATGCGCACGATATTAAGACGATATTGGAGTACATTTATCATCATTAATTACTGCTAAGCACTGAGTATTTGGCTTTGATGTTATAACAGAGAAAGGTATTACCTTTGTGTACGCATTTTGTAATCAATTAGTAATAATTAAACTATCGGAACCATATGCTTTGTATGTTTACTGATTATATGCGGCGTGATTGAAATTTGAAATGATTATTATTTTGTTACACGAGTAAATGAGAGTGATATAACTCTCGATTAATGGCTTTCAAACATCAACAAAACATGGGACAACTATGCGTCGCCACATATGAGACGACTCTACTGGAGCGATAACCATCTCCCATGACCACCATGGACATCAAGAGTCACAAGTGCGTTGTCGAGCTTTAAGTTCCCTATAACCACAGAATCACGGGTTTTGGTTTGCGATAACCGCAGTCGCTGGTTGAAAAGCAACTAAAGGATTACTTAACGATGGTTTTCTGTGAGGGCGTGGTATTGCTCCGATCAGGCCTGTCCCATTCGTGCCGAAGCATGCTTATGGCTTTTCTATAATGAATCTATTTCATCAATTTATTCAGAGTACGTAGTGCGCGCGTCAGCGGTGCTTCGCTCTGCAGGTTGGATGATGTAAAATCCATCGATAATTATGAAATCAGAAAAATATAGTCATGTATAGTATATTTTGTGATTATGAATTATTCAGTGGTAAAATCGCATGAACTTCAAAGTCACTACACGAGGGTCACACTGAAATTTTTTAGAAAAAAAAGACGTGTGGCACTCGGGGACTGCCGCGGTAAAGCTATTGCATAGCATTTTGTATCAACTTATGCAAATTATAATTATTTATTTATTTTATTTATGCAGTATTTCTTTTTCTTTGATATTAATTCAAGTTACACTTTTTGAGCGTGGTGACCGATAAGAAAACAATTTTTTTTCTTTTATTAAATAAAAATATTGAAGCATATATTACAATTTGTTTTTAAATAAATAAATAAAAAATATTATTATTAAATCAAATTACATATCCAAGTGTTTGCGCGGGTTAGCTAAATTCGAGGAGTTTGTAAAACTTGGTTGGCGTCAAGGTAGGAAATTAGAACTGTTAGGAAAATGAAAGTAATAATCAGTTCCAACGGGATGGATTGCACGATACCTTATTTCCTGTGCGGAGCAGCATGAAGTCCAGGTGCTATTTTCACCAAATTCACAAACCACAATGCGAAAGTTATTAATTTGCGATTTTTCAAGTGGCACACGCGCGCATTTCGAAAACCGACGGTAGCACGGACGGGGCGAGACTACATTTTTCACTTATGTACAACGAATGTGCAGCGTGCAGTGGTGAGTCCATCTCGCTCACACATATTGTATAGGCGTTGTGCAGGAAAGGGATAGTGGAGATGATATGATACCAACCAAAATATTTAAAGTAATAGTTTTCACGAAATTTGTTTTAGTGGCGCGAACATCCCCCCCGGCTTGAAGGAACGCCTTCAAAATTTTAGCCTATGTTTCTAAACTATGATTATTCTACGATACTAAGCAATAAACAATCTAAGTTCCCTAACCTAAATGAGTCTTAACGAATTATTGATTAGGTAAGGGGCAGAGACGTACGACTGGACGCAAATACGAACCAGTCAATGTCTTAACGCGTACTATCCGTGTGACTCCATTAGAGCCAGGAAAAACTTCCTCAACAACACCCAAAGGCCAGTGAAGTGGAGGAGAATTTTCAGTTAAAAGAATAACAACAGTCCCAACTGTGATCGGGTCGACTGGTGTATTCCATTTACAACGCGATTGTAAAGTGTGAAGGTAATCGGTTCTCCAGCGTTTCCAAAAAGACTGAACCAACTTATCGAGCTGATCATGCCGCGAGAGAGTATGCAGGTTAGGATCGATTTCACTCGCAGGCAAGTATTTCAACGGCGTGAGATTTAAAAAATGTGCGGGAGTTAGAGCGAGGGGTTCCGAGGGATCGTTAGATAATGTTCTACATAAAGGTCGCGTATTCAGGACCGATTCGATTTGAGCGAGAACCGTACTCATCTCTTCAAAAGATAATGTTTTATCACCGATAACGCGATACAAATGGGTCTTCAAACACTTGACATTCGCCTCCCAATTGCCGCCGAAATGACTTGCAGCGGGCACGTTTAGCGACCACTCAATGCGATTACTTGCTAACATATTGCCAAATTCAGTATTATGATATTTTGAATATAAGAATTCGTGAAGCCCTGAAAGCATGCGCTTGGCGCCGATATAATTGCTGCCATTATCTGAATAAATTCTACCTACTGGACCACGGCGAGATAAGAACCGCTTCAAAGCTCCCATAAAACTTACGGTGCTCAAATCACCTGCTAGTTCAATATGAACGGCGCGAGTCGTCATACAGACGAAAAGACACACGTATGCCTTGGTAGATCGAATACCACGACCTCGACCCATGGTAACCTTGAATGGGCCTGCGTAGTCAGTACCAGTGTGTACAAAAGGTTTAGCAGTTTCAACAACACGACACGAACGGTGATCTGCCATTTCCGGGAATGACGGCGTGGGATTGAGCCGAAAGCAAGGGAGACATTTATGTACTCTATTCCTTATTAAATTACGAGCCGAAAATATCCAGTACTTCTGACGCAAGAGTGACATCAGTAAGTCTGGACCGGCATGACAATTCAATTTGTGATGATAGTCAACGAGTAAATTCAGTATGTGGTCTTTACGAGGAAGCACAATGGGGTGCTTTTGACCATAATCTAAGTCCGAATTACGAAGTCGACCGCCGACTCTAACTATTCCATTTTCTATGAATGGTTTGAGATGTTGAAAGGCGCGACTACAGGGTTTTCCAGCCTTCAGGTTAGCGATCTCATTGGGAAAATGTATGCGTTGAACCTCTCGTAAAGTTAACAACTCTACGAAGTCTAAATCTGATGCGGTGATATTATGTCTTGGAGGTAACAGTCTTGCGAACCTGCAAACGAAAACTAAGCAACGTAGAAGCTTCGACCAAGACGATATGCGACTAGCCAACGAAATAATGAGAGATTCGGCAGGTGGCGAAGCTGTAACTAGCGAATGTTTCTTTTCTTCAAACACTTCCGTCACCGTAGAAGGGTTGAAGGGTGCAATAGGCCATTCGGAGATATTTAAGCGGGCCCACGGAGGGCCGTCGAACCACAGCGGATGGCCGATTATTTGCGATGGTTTCAGTCCTCGGGAGAGGCAATCGGCAGGATTTTCCTTGCCAGACACGTGGTACAAGTCACGTGGTGACAAGTCATGTTGTATTTTGGCCACCCTGTTGGCCACAAACGTGTCCCATCGATGAGGCGACGAATGTGCCCAGCAGAGGGCGACAGTCGAATCCGAAAATGCGTAAACCCTATTAATATTAAAACGGTTTTGACAAGCGACAGTTATGCTCTTAATGAGCTGAGAGAGAACGAGAATAGCGCAAAGCTCAAGGCGGGCAAGCGAAACGACCTTTCGGGGAGAAACCCTTGACTTCGCGCTTATTAGGCTCACGGTATTTCCATCCCTATTATGAACATGGAAATAGACTACTCCGCCGTAGGCCTTCTCACTAGCGTCTGCGAAGCCAAGAATGGTGACGACACTATCAGCGATGATTCCCACGTAACGTGGAATTTTTATACTCGAGAGCAAAGGGAGTTCTTCTCGAAACTGCGCCCAAGCATGGACGATTTCATCGGGTGGGGTATCATCCCAATCGCACTCACGCAGCCAAAGCTGTTTGATAAGTAGTTTTGCGTGCAGGACTACAGGTGCAACGAACCCCATTACATCCCAAATTCCAGCGACACATGACAGTATGGTGCGTTTTGTACAAGCTTGCGAGGGTGAACTCAGCTTTAAACTAAACAAGTCAGTGGCGTGTGACCAACACAGGCCGAGTACCTTGTGTTGTTCCGAATTATCGAATTCCTTCACCGATGAAAGACGATGCGATGCCGGTATGGAATCAAGAACAGTCTGCGAATTACTATTCCATTTTACTAGTTCGAATTGACCAGACTTCATCAAACCTATCATTTGAGAGGCGGTAGAAATGCCTTCATCCTCATCTAGGACTGAATAGACAAAATCATCCATATAAAAACCGTGGTCAATGATGTCCCTTGTTTTAGGAAAAGAATCGCCTTCATCGACTGCGAGTTGTTTGATTGTGCGTAGAGCATGGAATGGACTGGACTTCAAACCAAAAACGACGCGGTTAAATTGATATACCTGTAAAGGTTGTTGCGGGCAAAAGCGATATAAGATGCGCTGAAAGCGGCGGTCACACTCGCGAACACCGATGCTGAGAAACATTTGTCGAATGTCAGCCGAAAGCGCGACTGGAAACAAGCGGAAATTAACTATTATGTTAAACAAATTTCCTTGTAGGTTCTGTCCATTATAGAGGAGGTCATTAAGAGATACACGTGTGCTTGTCTTGCAACTACCATCTAGAACAATTCTCAACTTCGACGTGACCTTGTCCTCTCTTAAGACTCCGTGATGCGGTATAAAATACGATTGGCTATCTAATGATTCTGGGTCTACGGGCGAAATATAACCCTTATCTAAGTATTCATGAACGACACCGTCGTAGACCGTCTTCAACTTCGGAGAAGCCAGCAACTTTCTCTCCAAACAAAGAAACCTTCTTTCGCTTGCCTGTCGAGAGTCGCCAAGGGAATGTATGTCTCCCTTGAAAGGCAGCGCTACCTCATAACGGCCATCGTCAGCGCGAGATGTCGTACGAGTGTATATTTCTTCACAGACCTTATCATCTGGGCTGAGTATGGGTGGGACGTTCACCTCCTCCAACTCCCAGAATTTACGAACGGCTGAGTTGAGGGGATCAGCGAAGCAACAATACGAAGTGGTTTCGAAACGATCAACACATATCGGAGTCTCACCAACGATAACGTAGCCAAGGACAGTTTCTAATGCGAGAGGTGAGTGACGAGCAGGGTGTCCTTGAACCTTGTGCGACAAAAGAAGATGTGGGAAAATTGAAGCCCCGATGAGGACATCAATCGGGCCCGAGACGGTGTATGTGTCATCCGCTAACGGTAAGTTTTCGAAGTTGGGTAAATGCGAAAAATCAATGGAGACAGTGGGTAAGTGCTCGGTTATTTTATCTATAATCAAAGACTTCATGTCGTAATTGGTGTTACGATCGAACCGAGAACTAAATTTAATAATTACCGAGCCTTGAATATTTTTGCTTGAACCACCTATTCCCTTCACGGTAGATACGTCCGAGCTCCGATTAGCATTCAAACCTAAGCGCTGGCAGCAAGAACGGGTTATAAAATTGCTCTGTGAAGCGCTGTCTAATAAAGCGCGTACGCTGTGTTCATTACCACGAGAATCAACAATAATGTGCGCGCGGTCGCGAGTAAAATCGTAGTAGGGCCATGAGAAATGTTTACGTTGTTATCTGATAACGCACAAAGAGTGACGTCATCAGTCCGAGCGGAACTATCTAGAGCGACGGACGCGGACGGTCGAACTTGTCCCGAAGTAACCGGCGCGGCGGCAGTGGCGGCGGCGGCGTGAGCGCGCGTATCGAACGAGTTGCTATGGTGATTGTTTACGGATGTGTCCCGAAAACACAATAATGTATGATGTTTAGAGTTGCATTTTTTACACAAGGAATTCGACCTGCACGCGGACAGGCGATGTCCTGCACCTAGACAATTTATGCATAAATTATTTGCTTTGACAAATTTGAACCGATCGCTTGGTTTGCGATTATGAAACACAGAACATTTGTACAAGTGATCATGTTTACTATTGCACAAGGAGCACGAAGATTGCTGAGGACTGGATGCGGCATTTACGTATGCATGTGTGGTCGACGAATTCGACAACTTAGGTGCCGTATCCATTTTTTGTTCAAACGTCTTCTTTGTGGCTCCATGTTTGACTAATGAAGTGCGTTCTAATATTTTTATGTGCTCGCGAACAAATGATGATAGGTCATCGAACGTAGGCATTGGACAAGTGCGTTTAAATGATTCGAATGCACGTGCGGTGTCTTGGTCTAATTTCTTGAGTGCAATATATAAAAATACAAAATCAGCGAGGTCATCGACCTTCAAGTTTTTCAAGGCGGCGACTGAGCATGCGAATTTGTCAAGGAATTGTTCCAGATTTGTTGGGGTTGCGGATGAAATGGCCTTGAGATCAAATATTTGATCTAAATACGAGGTGGCCACTAGCCGTTTATCTTCGTATTTATTTTTAAGCAAATCGAAAATTAATAAATAATTCTCGGCACATGGGGTTATGCCGGCGCATACTGATCGCGCCTTCCCGGTCAATTTACCTATCAAGTAATACAACTTTTCCGATTCTGACAGCGAACAATTATTATGCACAGCATTTTGAAAACTAGCGAAAAATAGCGGCCAATTTTTTATATCTCCATTAAACTCGGGGATCTCTATCGGTGGTAATTTAGGCGATTTGTATTTATTAGCGGGTTTGGTGTCATTAGGCTGCGATTGTAATGTTTTTGCAGCACGTCTAACACGGCCCAAAAGGTCCTCGAACGATGACAGTGGCTGATAGTCAATCTCAAGAGCTGGGTTTAATTTAAATTCCAAGCTAACTATTTTATCCAACACATTTTCGAACTCAGTACGTAAATCATCTACGGTTTCAACTTCACTCAAAAATGTCTCTTGTGCTGATAACGATTCAAGATTTCCTACACGATTAGAAATACCTTGCATACGACTAAAGATCCTATCTCTTTTGGCATATAACGTTTTTAATTGTACATTCACGTCTGTAGGTGCCATTTCGATAAGTTATGTATGTATGTATTGTAAATAGCGTAAACAAGAAACAATAAACACGGCGGAGAACCAATTGCCTGTCCACAGCTGTTTAAACGTAGGTATTCAACACGAAACGAAAATGTAATGTGATGGATGTAATAAGTAGATAACTATACCATGCGATCTGTGATTTGTTTACGATAATGAAAGCAAGACTTTATTCATAAGTAGGTATGCGAACAATTTCTAAATTTAATGAGCGATAATGTATAGGTAGATATAATTTACCTATAGTACGAAATATGCGATGCGGGTTATGCGAAACAAGGTATACAAGTTAATACGAGATTCTTAAGTGCGAATATACGAAATTATATCGCCACTTAAACTAAATGAATTTATGAATTTTTACAAATGAGCGACGCGTGCGACACGAAGATGGCGGCCGGCTGCCGGTAAACGAATTGACGATTTGTATAGCGAAATATTATCGATAAACGAACTAAAGCGATAGGGACTGATTCAAATCGGGGGAGAAGGACCAATAATGTATGCGCGGGTTAGCTAAATTCGAGGAGTTTGTAAAACTTGGTTGGCGTCAAGGTAGGAAATTAGAACTGTTAGGAAAATGAAAGTAATAATCAGTTCCAACGGGATGGATTGCACGATACCTTATTTCCTGTGCGGAGCAGCATGAAGTCCAGGTGCTATTTTCACCAAATTCACAAACCA